AATATATTATATATATTTATTCTCATATCAAACAGGAAGTTGAGAGTTTCTTACTTATATTAGATGGTTAAAACCTTTCTTGTAGAAAGGGAGAAATACAAAGCATTTTTAATGCTGTTTTCTTAGCAGCTTTTCTGACTTTAAATCCAAACGTGTTACTTCAATAATAATTAGACATTAGACTGCTGTCCGCCCAGCTTCACTGCTTTCTATCAAAAGTCCTACAGAATGTGTAAATAAATAAACACAACACAACTATTCACCCACGTTTTATCACCTCGTTCATCAACGACAAAACAAATGGTTAGGAGTGACCAACGAAGCTAAACTTACCTGCATTTTAGTGAATAAAGAAGTCCTTAAACCTCACACAGCTGCTCAGCCCCACACGGAACCAGAAGGAAGTCCGTGCTGCTGGTTCCGGCAGAAACCAGAACCCGCAGGCTGGGCTTTTAATGCTTCCAGCCCTACATCTAAACCACGTTTTATTAACGTGTTTACAACAATAATGTAAGCGTTTTGTTTTGATGTATATGGTAGAAACTTTGTAATTAATGATTAAAAAGTAGTAGGAACCATCGCCACGCGGGTACGACAATAATAAATGTGACACCAACTTCCTTTGAGGCTCAATATGCCCATATAAGGAGTGAGAGCGCAGCACGCTCCTACCGAACAGGTGCGGCTCAGCTCCCTGTTTGTGTAACATTTTACAGTAAAACATGTCAGTAAAATTTACTCAGAAAAATACTAACTATTGGAGTACACTGAATAAAACTATTAAAAAGAAACATATTTATCTACAAGTGTAAAAGGATGGATGTAGACATGGAGCAGGGGCAGTGTTAGGATTTTAAACACAGGGGGCTAAGCCCAGTTAACCCTCTGGACCCGTTTCAGAAAGCAGGCTTAACAAGCTCTGTGTAGAAGGTAGATACTCTGAATCAATCTACCCTGTTCTATAACAGGGCAGACCGGGGACAGTAGCAACAAGGGACGGTTGCAACACATCATTTTTCTCCAAACAGAAACAGAGTGATGACACTCACACTGTACATGCTCAGTTAGATGTCCCACCTTGGAAAGAAAAAGTCAACAGATTCAAAAACTGATCCAGGATTTATTTAAAAAAACAGTTTTTGAGGAACAAAGTATTTTTTTTACCCAGTTTTATT